AAAAAAAAAAAAAAAAAAAAAAAAAAAAAAAAAAAAAAAAAAAAAAAAAAAAAAAAAAAAAAAAAAAAAAAAAAAGTCAATGAGGTGTATACAACAGCACAAGACCAGATCTAAATCTCAATAAGTCTCAATTAAAAATTGATATATGATAAAGGAAAAAGGCATTTGATCTAGTGGCAGTCTCACAATTTGGGAATGGAGGTTCTGTGTTCATTTCTTAGAATGCCTCATGTGCTTGTTGACTTTCTATACACAATTTTCATTTTAAAACAAGTTCAACAATGGTGCAATGGATACATTATTCGAACTACAATAAAAAAGAATTAATTTGGTATACTCATATAGGGCATTTGGTCTAGTGGTATGATTCTCGCTTCGGGTGCGAGAGGTCCTGAGTTCGATTCTCGGAATGCCCCAAAAATTTTTTCACTGCCATTTCTAAATCTTAACTTCCAAGTTCCAGTCAACTTACATAAGATCTTTTAAACTGAGTCCAAGAGAAGAATCTTAAGTGGGCAACCTAGAAAATAGAAGACCAGGAGTCTATATGCAAAGATGCCAAATAATGGAAATGTAAGATCTTTATACTAAGTCCAAGAGAAGAATGCTAAGTAGATATAACATAAATAAAAAAAATATTAGCTAAGTGCATCACAGATCCAACGTCAAGATGATATAACTTCAATTACAAAATAGAATATGGTCTAGTTATATGATTCTCAGTTTGGGTGTGAGAGTCTAAAATTCAATTCTCAAAATGCCCAATTTCTTGAGAAATTATTGAATTGTATTTAGTGGTTATTAGGGGCATGCATATTTTTGAATTTATCCGATGATTATTAAAACCGTCATTTTTTCTTTTTTTTTTCCAATTTCTCAGTGTTCGGTTACTTGGGTTCTAAAAAAAAGAAAGTGAGTAGACAACCTCAATACTACCAATATTTATGATAAGCAGCATTCCACATGCAAGGTCTCCAAGATTGTTCATGATTTGGTCATGGGAAAACAGAGTTATCATAATGAACTTCAGCATATTACTGCAGATATTGAACTTTAGCTTTAGTCAGTCTAAAAACCACGGCAGAACCAATGATTCCCATCTATCTTTATTCCAGGTTATGCTTATGCCTTTTTCTTCTCCTTTCTTTTTTGGTAAACTTTTTCATTAGGGGAAGATCCTCTTGCGCTCTGAAAGTTATCATTCGCA